GTTAATGTTCAGCAATGTTGTCCGCTCGGAAGCTGGTGGGCATTTAAGGTTATAAGGTATTTCTCCCGCCTTCTTAGCATGCCTTCGTGGTGTTGTGGTCAGCACGCTCGACGCGTATTCGAGAGGTCCGTGATTCGTGTCCCGGTGAGGGCATTGCTCATTTTTCACATCTCCTGCTTTGCAATAACCTAATGTCTCTACAGTGGCGCCCGAACTAAAAGGGGGTGAATGATGATTCTCCACAACCAGGATCTGGCGACCGAGTCCCCTAAGCCCCAGTCACCCTTTAAAAGGAGAGTATATAAGGTATTTCTCCCGTCTTCTTAGCATGCCTTCGAGTTGTAGTGGTCAGCACACTCGGCGCGATTTCGAGAGGTCGGTGGTTCGAGTCCCGGGGAGGGCACTGCTCATTTTTCATCTCTCATGCTTCAAAAAATACCTAATATCTCTACAATGGCGCCCGAACTAAAAGGTGGTGAATGATGATTCTGCACTACCAGGATTTGGCGATTGGGTCCCCTAAAACCCCAGTCGCCCTTTAAAACGGGGAGTATATAAGGTATTTCTTCTGCCTTCTTAGCGTACCTTCGTGGTGCAGTGGTCAGCAGTCCGTGGTTAGAGTCTTGGCGAGGGCATTGCTCATTTTTCATCTCTCGCGCTTTTTAAAAATACCTAATATCTCTACAAGGTATGATGAAACTTTTAAGTGCGGAAAATGATTTAAATAGCTGTATGTAATAATAACTGCACTAATACTTCATGTGATATTTTTAATTAAAGTGAATACTCAATTATTTGAATAGACGTGACAATGCTTATGAGTTTATTTATATGTGTGCAGGTATTAATCACTTATCTTTACACCTTTTTGTGCGATAATTCATTTCTGTGATCAACTCCTAGTGAACCAAACATTCAATCACTTTAAGTTCACTTTAGCAAGATTTACAAAAATAAGATTTCGCACAAAAATAAATTCTGGATAATTTAGTGCCATATGACACAGAGAGTTACATGAGAAAGGAAACATCTTATGTAATTTTCAGGAAAAGAAGTAGCATTAGTTCTTGATCTTTGATGCAAGAATTTCATATTGGTGAGAAATAGACACAAAACATCGCGAATTAAGTCTGTTCGCTAAAGTCATTCCGCTGACCTCGGCTGCAGAAAAGAAAGCACTTTTCGCAACTGCTTGTTACTGCGATTGCTTTGTTGCAAAAATAAATTTTTTAGAAACTTTTTATAAAACATTTAGTTGTTGGTTAATTTTTCCAAGCACTTTTTAGTTACAAAATAAACAAATAAATAAATAATATACATTCCATTTAGTCCTTTTTGTTTACTTTCTAAAAATTATCTCATTTTTAATTGCATCAGATTACAAAGGTCATTTTCTAAGTTCATAAATTTGACCTGAGATACTGGTATATAAACCCTTCTAGAAACTTGCTTGAAGCCTGTGAAGAAAAAAAAATATCCCTTTCAGAAACTCACAAGATAGATCTCTGAATGCTACTTAGAAAATGTAGATCTTCGTTAATTTTATTTCGAATATTATTCGAACATTTTTTTAACTAATTTATTGCTCGACTGTGCTACTTGTTCCTTTGAAAGCTTGGCTCATATTAACAAGTACTTGTGACAAAAGTAAAGTTATGGGAATAAAGGTTGAAACAAATGTTAAAGAATCTTCGAAATATATACTTACAACCACTTTGATAAATAATTCACATTAAACATTTACACTTAAAACCAGCTTTACTATTTTAGAAATATAAAGCAAAATAGCATTCATTTATTCTACGCAAGTCTCTTTTATTCTATAAAATTTAAAGATGGTTCATTAATTGCTGTTTATAACGCTTTTAAGTAAAATTTTACTAAATTAATGCTTACACAAACAATTCAAGATTTATTTGTTTAACAATATAAGATTTATTTTATTTCTAATAGCATTAAATACAGATTCTAATTTTTTAATCGGAAAATATCCGTTACACTTTATGAAGAAACGGGTTTCTCTCCGTATGTATCGGGAAAATCTTTAATGTTTAATTTTTTTCTCAAAAAAAAAAAAAAAAAAAAAACACTAAAACTCCTATACTTTATTCATTTGAATTTTGACTTGAAATTTATTAGTTTGACTAAACTTCTTTATTACCTTAAAACAACAGTTATTCAAGCATTTATTTTTGGTTTCCGTTAATTAAATAAACACGTGCAGTTGCGCATTTTTAATGACTGCTTTATCAATATCTGCAGACATCAGTGAGCAAGAAAGGTGTTGATACTGTGGTACTTTTTTTATTGTAGAATAATGAACAAATGTACATACAAGCAAAATAAATTTCTCTGCACAATTAAGAGCGTAAATGAGATGCTTTTACAATTTGATCATTGTAAATGTAACTTTACGCGCAAGAGGTACAACTGAAACAGAAAAATTTTCACAATTCATTCGTTGTTTATATACCTATAATAATATTTAAAAAAAAATACGTTTTAGGTGAGTTAAACTGCTTTTTTTTTTTCATATCCTTCGTATCCTTGTCACAACTACACATCAAAAATATCGTTATCGAAATTATTTAAAATAAATTTTACCAGCATCCGAATATATTGTTGCATCTATGATATTATGATACGAATATATTGTTGCATCTATGATATTATGATACGAATATATTGTTGCATCTATGATATTATGATACGAATATATTGTTGCATCTATGGATATTATATTTTATATTTCAGTTTGTTTGATTATTTTAACGGAATTTAGGAGATTATTGATTATTAGTGGAACACATTTTGTTGTATTAATCAACCGACGCAATTCTCTCTAATGGACATTCGGGCCCACCAGCGGCCGAGCGGTAAAGTCGCTGAACACTGGTAGTTCGGTCCGAAGTTCGAATCCCGCTAACGGGCTGGCTGCATGGGCGTTTTCGTGGTTTTCCCCATGTGTAACGTGTATACGAGCCAGTTTTCCTTAGAAAGTCCTCCACGAAGGCATCCGTCCTCTTAGGCAGATAGCCCTCGACGCTTTGCCATAATCACACACACACACATACCAGAATTAGCTAATGGACATTCATTAATATGTTTTAATTCCGCCCTTTTATTACGGAGCGATTCCGTCTTAATATTTTAATTGATTTTTAATCCCGGCAATAGAAGACACCCGTTACTTTATAAAACGCAAGTTTTTCTATTAGAATCATGTGGTCATTAGATGGTTTTCCTTAAACTGTTGTTAACTGAAACTTTAACAAACAACTGAACAAACTGAAACAATAGTTCGACCATTTACTACGTAAAGAATTAAAGAATTTTTTTTCATCTGTTCTTGCAGTCTGTCAGTCAGCTCATCCAAATAACAGCTCAGAGTTGATTCTCAGTAATCTCTCAAAATTTCTATGCACTCAAAACATATAATGAATCTGACGCACAATAGCGGATTGCTTCTAAAACTCAAAAAATTCAACTTTTCCTTCTTTATTAGGAAATTTTAAATTATTTCAATTATTAATATTATTTGCAACGAAATTTAGCGATATTAATTGCTTATCCGGAAGCTAAAACTTATTTCAAGAAAACCTGAAACGTACTCGAAATGCCCGACTGAACTAAAGCTGAAATCTTCTAAAAAGATCCTATACCTTCTGCTGATACAAAACTGGAAATAACAGCACAGGGCATTTTTCATTTCAAAATGGCTTGCTATTCTACATCACATACATACATGTAATTTTCAAAATAGTTTTCATGCCCCTTGATTTTAAATTTCGTTTAATGTAAAACAATACACAAATAGCTTTAAGTGGAACATAAATACAGTTCTGCCCTTCGTATCCACTGATTCAATATCATCAATTTAACACAGCTAAGATTTATTTTTTTTTTTAATTTAAAAGAAGGAATAAGATTAATAATAGTTTTAAAGATTGCCGCAGTTTCATATAACCGGAGAAGCGTTCGAACATATTATCTGCGGCAAGAAAGGGTATTGCTTAATATTACAAGTTTATCTTTTTAAAATGGGTACATTTTTAGTTAAAACTGATTTTAAAAATTAAATGAAAAATGAAAAATAAGCAGTTAAATTTAAAGCTGTTTTTTTACTTAAATGAAATAATGTTTTGAAGTTCGAATGAAGATTGGCTTAAATATTATGAAATACAATTTAATGCCATGAAATTTATCAAATCTGAAAATTCCTTTCTTCAGGCTTAAAAAACTTTGTAAAGAAAAACTGGAAACATGAATTTACTATTGATCCTATGAGAGCAAGACAGAAAAGCCTTTATAAATACGGAAAACATACGTTATTAAAACGCTTGAAAGGGTACTATTTGACCCTAAGGTACTAAATGTAATTCCAAACTCTAAAGTTAACAACTAGCGCAATTTTCACTTCGTATTGACTTGATAGTACAAACTAACTTTGCATTGACTTCATCTAGAAAGTTAACCTTTTCAATTGAAGTAATAAGCATAGGAATATTGACAATTATTAATACTCATCTGCCATGCAGTTCTTGCACGTATATCCTGAGACGTTGCTGATATATATAATAAAGGTGTAAAGGAATGTGCATAACAAATATAATAATAATAGCAGTAATATTAATATAAAAGAGTTTTAAGTGAAGGTATATAAATCATTATATTTTCAAAACAATATCTGTAATTGTTTTTTTGTGTTAGTTCGAGCTACAATAAACAAATGAAAAAACAAATAGGTCTGCAGGGGTGAAACAGGTAACCAAACGCTTAAATGCTACATTCTACATGCTTTGCAAATAATGCTTAGAATGAAGTCAATCAAATGTAAACGAATGAGGTATCTTGCATAACAATTATTTCCCCGCTTCGCTGTGTTAAACTTATAACGTGATAAAACAACATATTTATAACTTACAAGAGCAATTTCATTCAGATTTTATATTGAATGATTTAAAGATAAGAAATAAAAATAAAATTTTCTAATACCTTACCTCAGTTCTTCGACTGAGTGGACTACAAAATACAGCCAGTAAAGTGGCTACAATGAGCACGAACTCTGTCAGCCAGGGGATCATAGCTGCCCTGGCCGATCACGAAATCATGTTTTGACTCCGTAAGTAAGTAACAGCAGGTCGGCTTTACTTTTAACCTAAACCGCGAAACTCTATATAATGACGCTGGAAGGTTTCCATGACAACGTATGATGGTCATTGTTTGGTGACGTCACAACCCATTTGTGTCACTTGCTGCGAGTTGACACGCCACGACGAGCATGTGATTTATGCCTTCGGGACAGACAGTGCACGACTGTTGCACAACCTTGACCTTTGCCCCATACACACCTCCATCTCAGAATAACACACACTCCCTCGGTCTCTTAACTCCCCATATGCTTTTATGTATATGAATAGGAATGTCTTTATAAAAATGTCTTTATACACATGATATCGTATTATACTTACCAGAAAATATGCACGTTCAGAAAATATGCAATTTCCTGGAAACATACCGGAAGCTATTTAATTGTAGCTTTTAAAACTGATGCACTGCACTCAAAACTTGAAACATTCAAAAGATAATTAATGAACATTTCGATGAAATAACCATATAACCCCTTTTAGGGGCATGAAAATAAAACGGCAGTTTTAAGATGAAATACGTGATAATATTAATACGCTAAAAACATTGGTTGAGAGGTGGAAAAATAAACCTCTAGCGGAGTTATCAGACGCTAGAAGTAAAGAATTATCATTTATAATATTTACCTCATCTAAGAAAACAGCTTTTAATATATCTAAAATTTTGCAAAACATTCAAGCGAGAAATGCTAAACTCTAATCTGTCATACAATTTATACTATACTAATGGTATTTTATGATTACCCACTATGCTAATTATTTTATTTTTCTTCTCTCACCTGTATACAAATTTAGATGAAAATATTTCTGGCTAGTTTTTATACTGCATTTAATTTAACTCTGAAATTTTCGAAATTAACCCAGTATGTATGTAGTGCTCACCAGTGACAGAGTGTTTAAAACCACTGAACACTGGTATATCGATCCAGGTTCGAATTCTGGAGAACAAGCTGACTGCACCGGGTGTTTTTGTGACTTTCCTTATATATAATGAAATTATGAGACATTTTCCCTTCGAAAGAGATGCCCGCCAGCGGCCGAGCGGTAAAGTCGCTGAACACTGGTAGTTCGGTTCCGATGATCAAATCCCGCAAAAGGGCCGGTTGCATGGGCGCTTCCGTGGCTTTCCCCATATGTATACGAGCCAGTTTCCCTTAGAAAGTCCTCCAAGAAGGCATCCCTTATGCAGATAGCCCTCGAGGCTTTGCCGTAACTACATAAACCAAACCAAACCAAAACCCTTAGAAGAGCATCTCTACCCTTAAGCAAAGCCAAACTACGAATAAGACAGATCATGCATTTCAAGAATTTTTCCCAAAATATCATATCTGAATCGCTTAACTCAAGCTTTATAAAAAAAGTTCATGAATTGTTCACCGACATTAACTAACTTATTTCTAATGTAAAAAGATTTTAATTTAAATCACCTGCTAGAGTGAGAATCTTTACATAGATTGCAACTATAAATCCAGTTTTGGTGAGATGGGAATATGGTTAAAAGAGCCTGGTATTATGCCGAAGGATAGGGGCTTGAAGGCTTGAAGGGGGGAAAGAAGATTGCCAGGATATCGATTATAGACTTTTTTTAGAACTCCAAAAAGCATGTTTTATGCTTCAGGTGTTTTTGATTTGCCGGGGCTCCAAATACATTAATGCCGGCCCTGATGCAACGCATCTTGACAAAATCAAAGAGTTCGTCAACAATTTCAATGAATAGGATGTTTCTTCCATAAAAAGTACTTAAAAGTTAATCAAACAACATTTCTAAAGAGCAGTCTTACATTTATATTTTCATATTTCGCTTAGATGCAAGTTTCTCCGAGATCTGGTAGCCTCTGCGTATACATTTGATTGATGTGATGAAACACGTGTCCAGTTTCCAGGTGAGAAAGATGTAAGTTTGAAAAAAGGCATGAACATCTTGTTAACAAAACCCATAACCTTTAAAAAAAAAAAAAAAAAAAAAAAAAACTGGAAACATTTATAAACTTTCAGAAGGTCATGAATTCTTGGCTGAAGTAAAACAACTTTACTAATAACGCTTTATCCACAGTTATTATTTTTACTAATAACACTGTGCAGCAGCACAGTTAAAACTTTATGTACGAGTAAATAAAAGAAAAGATCAGAAGTGAGCAGTTAATCGTAAAACCTCCAATTTATAGCACTCTGATTAACATATTTCTTGTTACTGCATCTGTGCGGCACCCTCTATCGACGAAAAATTTCAATTATTTTTAGTCCAAAGGGCGTTAGCCCAGAAGGGCTATTAATTTCGTTTTGGCATTTTGCGATGAAAACTTTAAATGCAAGTTCACTTTTCAAATTGTTGCCACCAAATGTTATCGCCCTGTGTTATATTTAAAGAAATTAAATAATGAAGAATCTGCATAAACATATGTATGTTTCTCGCATTGTGATAAAACAATGGTACCTAGAGCTATCAAACCTTGAATAACGTAATCTTCCACCGAATATGGGCATCTGGAAGCCCTAATTTGGAATTTGAAATTTGTTTTATTATCGATTTCATATTTTGTAACACATCAAAGACTTTTTATTAACAAACTCAACAATTTCAAAGCGAGCAATGGCAAAACTGAACGCGCTGAAAAAACATTTTTATCTCCAGCGCGCGAAACTGTGTATTGGAAATTCTAAAGATATGCTCATTTTCAAATTATTTTGTTGTATTGCTGTTGAATTGAATTTTATGGTTTAAGTGCAAAGAGCATTTAATAAATAAAGGTAACACACAAAAGGTTAAAAAAGATCCTTTGGGAGAAATGTAAAATCAGAAAGTTTTCAGATTTTTTAACCCCTGCCCCCCCCAAAAAAATCACTCTTCACGAGAGTAATGTTTTCGCAAACTGCGTTAAGTTCTACTTATTCCTTCAATTTTTATGAATTTTTAAAATATTTGCAGACTTGGGCTATACTGTATATATATATATATATATATGAATGTATGTATGTGTTCAACAAGGAGATCATAGTCCCAGAATCTAATAGAATTTGCGTTCTAGAAAATATTGGCAAGATTCAGTATTTGTTCACTTACCCAATTCCTAATATTATTTTCATAATTTAAAAATTAAAAATATTTCTAGTTTAACGACTTTTTATGATTCTTTGATTGTAATAAATAAGTAATAAAAAGTTATGAGAATATTAATAATATATCTTTAGATTTCGGAAACTTATAAATTAATTGTGCGAAAATTCTTTCGACATACAAACGACATACATATAACAAAATTACATACATATAACAACATTTCGACATACATATAACAAAATTACAAATAAGGACACAGTAGATCACAAAAAAATATCATTCATTTCCATTTAATGGGGAAACAATCAGCCTCGAGTAATAAGAATTTATTTATTATCTGATCCCTGAATGCAAATTGAAAATGTGGTCAGAAATTGCAAATTTTGGAATTAAATATGGCCGGGTAAGGACTTTTGCGGAAGCGGTGCATGTTCATTTTTCCCAAATTATTTTTCAGTGCATTATTTGGATTTACTTGCCTGCCATTGTCACCAATTTATTTTGCCACAGGTACCTGTTAGTGCTAAAAATCGGAAATATTGCTCAAATTCTCTAGAATATCATTATAAATAAAATTAGAAAATCATACGTTTTGTTATTTTTCAACAGTCTGAAAGCATTCGAACGGGGATTTATATAGATCAATGATTTGCTAACTTTGGTGATTCTGGGAGTCCATAAAACTACTTTTCATCTCATGAACCAATAAAACTGTAATATTTTCCCCCTAATTATATATTGTGTATATCACCTAAAATCCTCTAAAAAATGCATATGAAAAAACCATTAAAAATATATTACTTCACTGCAATTTTACCCATGAACTATGATCTATTTCGTAATTATTAAAGGTAGCAATAATAGGTACAGGTTGAAGCTAAGCCAGTACCTTTGTAGTACCCTTGATGATTGTGCTACTCACTGTTAAGCTTCTGTCCCAATTTGGAATTCCGAGATTAAAACACACTGAAGGGTGGGAGGTCTGAAAATCGCCCAATCCTCTTTCCCTGCAACTAACCTCTCGTTAGAATTTCTGCTCGCCGTGTATTTTGAGTTCCCTTTTTCGCACAGACACTATACCTTTAGAAACGTGTACTTCTTCTTCACGATTCGAGCCCGGACGGCACCTCCTTTATACAAAGCCAAGTAACTAGAGTTGCTAGAACGCCCTGACGCCATAAATGTCGTGTTTCCAACACCTTAATAGTGATCTCTTATTGCAGTTAACCGCCTGAAGTTTGAAACAGCAGTGAGCAGTAAAATAATATTTTACATTTTAATTAATTAATTTTTTTATTATTATTATGCCTCACAAGCGGTGTGTTGCAAAATGCAAACGAAATTAGAATAATGGCCAGGGCTTAATTTCTAAAAGTAGAAGTGCCGAAGCTCTAGTGGAAGACCGTCAGGAAAGAGGAACAAGAGTTAAATAAATAAATAAAATAACTATTAAATTATTAATAATTTTTAAATTATAGCGTTAATGAGTATAAAATTAATAATTATTTAATTGACATTAATAATTAATATTAATTCATTATTATTTAATTAATTCCTAATTAATTTATTATTATTTATTAAAAATAATTTAAAATTAAACTCATTAAATGATTAAAAAAATAAAATGTAAAGAGATAAATTAAAATTTAATAAGCGATTTTTAATATAATTTTTATTGCTAAAAATAAGATTTTCGAGATCAAATTTTAGCTGAAATAATTTTTCAGTTACATAAAAGAAGTGCCGGAGCCTTCTTATTTAGGATTCCGCTGCGCTCCGGCTAGAATTAGAATATATCTCAGATACTAAGAAGTACCGGAGCTCGGCTCCGGCGCAATTTAAGCTCTCTTTCGATGTCATTTAAACTAATATATTTAACATAAATATGTCCTAAGCAGATACTTAATTTATCGGAAAAGAAATTGTCCGAGGCTGAT